AGGAGCGGTTACAGGGATCCCAATACCCAAGCGAGGTGGTACTGGGCCGGTGATGCGCCATTCCAACCTACCCTCTTTCCTCCAGCAATGGTGTGAACGGGTGAATCCAGAGAACAAGGCAGCCCTGGAGGCGTGGGTAAGGGAGACTGGCATCCGCCTGGTACAGGTCAACGGGCAAAGGAAGTATGGCGGGCCACCCCCAGGTATGGTAGCCCCACCCCGTGGGGCACTACACGGCCTCGGCCACTCTTGTAGGAAGGGCCTGTCCCCTAGGCTCCCAAGTCAGGAAACCCAAACGACCTGACATAGCCTGTTAGGTGCGGATATTTGTCTGGCCCCCCTTCTACTCTCCTCGTCGAGGAGAGTACGCCCACCCACTCAGTGCCAGCCTAGTTGTTTACGCCGTCCAGTCGCCCAATTCTGCTAACGACCGGGAGCCAGCAGGGTGTCAGTATTTCTAGACGGTCTTCCTCCTGGCTCCCCCCGACACCCCAGCTGTTTCCTGGGGCTTAGAAGTTGAACCATCCCATTTGACGACACTACCCCCCACCTGCATATCCTCTCCCTCCAGGCTGGGTGGGCAGCCCGCCACCTTCGGGCTCCGAGGTGTTTATCGGACGACTGCCCCAGGACGTGTATGAGCACCAGCTGATCCCCCTCTTCCAGCGCGTGGGGCGCCTCTACGAGTTCCGCCTGATGATGACCTTCAGTGGCTTGAACCGCGGCTTTGCCTACGCGCGCTACAGCTCGCGGCGCGGTGCCCAGGCCGCCATTGCTACGCTGCACAACCACCAGCTGCGCCCCTCCTGCCAGCTTCTGGTGTGCCGAAGCACCGAGAAGTGCGAGCTGACGGTGGACGGGCTGCCTCCCAGCTTGAACCGCCGCACCCTGCTGCTCGCCCTCCAGCCGCTGGGCCCCTGCCTGCAGGAGACATTGCTGCTGCCCAGCCCCGGGTTGGCGCCCTCTCAGATTGCGCTGCTCAAGTTCAGCACACACCGAGCCGCTGCCATGGCCAAAAAGGCCCTGGTAGAAGGTAGGGGTGGAAGCTGCGGGTGGGCGGCTGGCTTCGTTAAAAGCGTATCCCCAAATCTTAGAGTCAGACACATGCGTGGGGTTCACAAACTGCCGGCATGCAACAGTGCTACAATCACTATTTACCTAAATTGAAGCTCCCGCTTGTCTAAGTTCCTCCCATAGTTTGTATCCTATTTTGTTGTTGTTTTTTTTGAGACAGGGTTTCTTGCTTAGCCTTGGCTGTCCCGGAACTCGCTTTGTAGACCAGGCTGGCGTCAAACTCAGAGATCCACTTGCCTCTGCCTCCCGCTTGGATTAAAGGTTTGCGCCACCACCACCTGCCATTGCATCCTGTTTTAGGCCTCAGTATTTCCAGGGGGGGGGGAGAATTGGAGTTGTACACAAGAGTTCAGGTGAGCCTGCTTATCTTTGTAGTGCCTGCTTCCTCCTGTGAATGAAGCAGTGCTTCATTGATCAGCTTTCATTGATCAGAAAGGTTAGCTATTGTGACTGGTGACTAAGTAAATAAGGCCTGAATGTCCTGTACTGCCCCAGGGATAGATAATTAGATAGTATGTGTTGTTACAGTCCCTTTACAAATCAATGAAGTGGGGCTTGGGGAAGTTGTCACACCCCCAGGAAGTGGAGAGGCATTAAACATAGCCTGTGGCCGTCACTCCCCTTTACTGGCCAGCTCCTCAGTGCCCAGCTCCTCAGTGCCCGGCTCCAGTTCCCGTACTCAGATCTGCCCTTGTCTTCTGCCTCTTTCTTGCAGGGCAGTCACGCCTCTGTGGAGAACAGGTGGCTGTGGAGTGGCTCAAGCCTGACCTGAAGCAGCACTTCCGCCAGCAGCTTGCGGGTCCCTCGCTGCGGTTCCTCCGGCCGGAAGGCAGCCAGCTAGCCCAGAGCAGGGATAGGCTAGGGACCCAAGGGGCCCGGGCTGCTCTGCAGCTGCTGTGTCAGCGGATGAAGCTGGGCAGCCCCGTGTTCCTTACCAAGTGTTTAGGCACAGGGCCTGCTGGCTGGCATCGCTTTTGGTACCAGGTTGTGATCCCTGGACACCCAGTGCCTTTCAGTGGCCTCATCTGGGTTGTGCTGGCCTCTGAGTGGCAGGATGGGCACGAGGTGGCCAAGGATGCTGTGTCTGCACAGTTGCTGGAAACACTGAGTGAGTCCAGAACCAGCTTGTGGTCTCCTGGGGCTGAAGCAGGTATTGTGGTTAGGCAGTGACCCCTCCCCCTCCTCTCTACCCGCAGCCTAAATGGGTGGGCAGAACCTGTGCCATCCCCAGCCCAGCAGGCCTGGGCAGCCACTACTGGATCACAAAGAGACAGGGGCCTGGTTACAGCTTCCTTGCTGGAGAAGGACCCTGCCTGTCACACCTAAGTGCTACTTTAGTTGTGAGGAACTCTGCCCTTCCCCCATTGAGCCCAGGGTCTGATTGGACCTAGTATCCTTGGTCACTTCCCAGTTTGACAAAATTCACCATACCCACACAAAAAGTTGACTATGAATCTCTGTTTTTATTTAAGCCAAAGGCCCTTCCTCCGACCATGTGCCACTGATTTGGGCTTATGTGTCTTTTCTTCTGTGCTGGTTGTATTTATATTAAACCCCTGGTTGGTCTACACATGTCTGTCTCTGCTGTCTTACCGTAACAGTTTGTTGTACAGTGGTAGGGTGAGCAAATACTTTCCCACTTTGAGGCCATGAATTCATACAACAGAGTCCTGGAAATTCCTGTTGGGGGTTGGGGGGACCCATGGTAGAGCTAAGCTTATATTCAAGATGGTGGGTTCAATCCACGGCACCAAGAAACAGATTTCTTTAGGGGCTGTCCCAGAAAATATAGCTCCTTGTCCTGGCACTCTCCTCATGGCCTCAGCTCAGTCACTGTCGTCTTCGCTCTCCTTCAGCACCTCCTCCTCCTCCTCCTCTGGGGCCTTGGCATCCTCTCCATCTTCTCTCAGCCCTGCAAAGAAGTCGTCAGTGCTCCAGGCCTTACTGCTCAGGGCACGGAGTGGTCCTCCCTTTTTCTTGCGTCGCCGATAGTCGTCCACAACCACAGTTCGCAGCTGAGCCATGTTCCAAAATTTGAGTCGCTGGTCGTGGCCACTACTGGCCAGAAACTGGCCGCAGTGGGATAGGGATAGTGCCTCCACAGGCTCCCCAGCATGCTGGCCCACGGTACCTACCACTCGGTTTGGCAGGATGTTCACAGCCCTGGGCAGAGAAGAGTGTTAGGCACTGGCTTGGCTTGGCTTGGCCAGCTCCCTGGGCTCCAGGGCGGCAGTGGCTCCCCTTACCTGATGATGCCATCAGTGGAGCCAGTGCACAGCAGATTCTCGGTGACCGGAACCATGCAGTCGATGGACTCTGCTCTCAGGGCAAAGCGGTCACTTGTCGCCCCAAAACCATTCCAGTTGAAGAGGTAGATAGTACCTTCACTAGATCCACAGGCCACCTTCTTCCCGTACTGCAGGTTAACAAGGCAAACCATGTTTGTGGAGCCACTTCAGAATACACTCCCTGGCGCACATACCCCATCCCATCATACCCAGCTGTACTTTCATGAGGGTGACGGAGGTCAGATCGCCTGACTGGGGCTCCGAGAGTAACTCCAAACGGCGCCTCTTGATGTTGAAGACACCAAGGCAGCCATCCCCACTGTAGAGAGCAAACAGATTGAACGGGAAGCTCCATTTGAGGAAGACTATAATACCCAGTGGGTACCTACATCACCAAGAGGTCTCGAGGGAGGAAAAGAGCAGGGAGTCCGTTTAAGGTTGTACCTGGCTGTCAGCAGCAGCTTTTTGGCTGGGTCTAGAGCCATGTCAGCGATGTACTCCTCATGCTGCCGCATATCCATTAAAGGGCCCTCTTTTCGCTGGTCCCAGAGCCGGATGCCACCTGTGTCATCCCCAGTGACTAGAACATTCTCATCCACAAGCAGCAGGCTATTAATGGGGGCACTGGAGAAACAGAGAATATGAATTTGTTCTAATGGAGACCCCTCAGTCCTTACCCCTCACCAGGTACACGTACATCTGATTTTTCTTACCTGTGAGCCTTGGAAATGCGTCTTTCCAACTGTCCCTGTTCGACGTCTAATACATGGATTGCTTTGTCCTTAGAGACAGTGACAAGTTCTAGGGGGAAAGGCCCAGCTTATGGTGTGATCACTGCCTTCTCCCCGTACCACACTGCTGGCTGCCTGCCCCCGTACTCACTCTGCCCATCCTCTGAGAAGACGACGGCTCTGCAGGACTTGAGGTGGTGCCCCGAGGACCAGACTTCCTTGGTTTCTCCCTCCTGACAAGAGTATGAAAAGCTGAGGAAAGGAAGAGAGTGAATCATCCCATACCACACCTGCAATGCACAGGGCACAAAAATCCAACCTTCCCATGTAGATAAGAGTACTCCCAAGACCAAAGAGCCTACCATTCTTGTTTATCAATTTTCTTTGTAGTATTGGAAATGGAAATTCACACATGCTAGGTAAATAGCCTGCAACTGAGCCACACACACCCAGCCTATTTATCTGTTTTCTCTTTATATTTTTCTTTTAGTTATTCTTTTTTTGTTTGGCTGGTTTTGGTTTTTTGTTTGTTTTTTTGTTTGTTTGTTTTGTTTTGTTTTTTGAGACATGGTTCCTCTGTGTAGCTCTGGCTGTCCTGATACTCAAACACCAGGCTGGTCTTGATTGAACTCAAGAGATCCACCTGCCTCTGCCTCCCCGAGTGCTGGAATAAAGGGCATTCACCACCACTGTCTGGCTCATTTATCCATTTTAAATTAACTTCAAATGTTAGATCTTGTTTCGATACTTATTAATTCAAGATATATTTGTATAGGACTATTTTGGGGAATGCATCAGGTTGTGACAGATCTCATTGCATAGCCAAGGCTAGCCTGGAACTTGTTTTCTTTTTTTGTTGTTTTATTTGAGACAGGGTTTCTCTGTGTAGCC